AGAAAGTAAGACAGATCATGGGGACTTGTGCCCACTATTCGGGCGATCAGCCCAACAAGCATACGCTCATGTGCATGTACACATGTACCCACATGTACACCAAAATCATGGAATATACATAAGCACATGCACACGCACACACATTGGAATAGGACCAGCCCTCCATCCTTCTACACACACATCCATGCATACACACAAGCTGGGAACACACTACCACCAACAGTCAGCTTTCTTCATCTCTGCCAACACAGGTGCTCTTTCTCTTACACACAAGACACTGCACACCTAGGAACTAGCACAGCTGAACTGCCTAGCATAGGGGCCTTATGTGTGCATGCTGGGGGGGGGGGGGCGTCTTGCTTCCCCCAACTTTCTGGGACACTTTGTTCAAGTCCAGTATCCTCCATAGGCTTTCCTTGAGCGACCCTGTGCGGAGTCCCTCGGCTTACTAGACTATTCTACAGGATCAGGAACGTGCTTAGTTTCGACCAATGGATCCCTTATTGCCACCTCAGCCCCACAGGACAGGAGCCTGGTCTGTTTTATTTACTGCTACATTCCTGGTCCGAAGAGCAGACACAGTACACAAGTGATGCCACTCACTCACTCCACAGCTGAGACAGACTGAACAGGAACGGCGCGCCTGCCTCTACCTGCCCTGTGTGCCCACCCAGCAGACCCCCACTTGTCAGGGGCCATTCATCCTCTGGGGGTCCCAAACTAAGCCAAAGAGGACATGAGAAGGCTAGAGGACACAGAGAAAGTGCAGTCAGGCTCACCCTGCCACAGTGAAGGGCGAGAACGTGAGAATGAAGAGACAGAACACACACACACACACAGAGCATGGGGTAGGGATGGATGGCATTCTGCAGCAGGGGCAGCGGTTAGGTCAATGTGCAGATACGCAAGCAGCAATGATAAAAAGGCTGGTACCTGCTCGCTGGGACGGGGCAGGAGCAGGGCTTAGAGTGATCACAATAACTGGATGGGGAAAGGAAGAAAAAAAAACACCACGATAAATCACAACAGAAATAACTGATTTGTCCAACAGAAAAGAAATCAAATCATAATGAAGAGGAGGGGAGGCGCAAGGCACCAAACTGCAGAAATGGGTAGAAACTGACAGAGATGGGAGGGTGGGAGGGAGGCATGGAGCTGACAGACAGATACCTGCGCGGGGCTCCTTGGGGCCTGCCAGCCACCAGCCTTACCAGGTCTCACTCTGCTGCTCTAGGGACAGACACCTCTTAGGGCACCTAGGGCCCCATGCCCAACCCTGACTCATCCACACTGGGGCTGGGAAAGACGGCTCTGCACAGTCCAGCAGGGGCCCTCCAAGGCTTGGCCCAGCATCTGGGCCCAGACAGAATCCAATGAAAAGAACCCCCACCTCTGGGTATCTCCAGGCCCTGGAAGAAACTCCCCAGGAAGGAAAACTGGCAGACTCAGACCAGAAGAGGGAAGGATGGAGGGAACCCTGAAGAGGGATTCGGGGGGCGGGGAGGGGGGGGGGAATCAGGCTGTGAAGGTTAGGCCAGGTGACCAGGAAGTGGGCAGAATTCTCAGCCTCGGAAGACTACCTTTCCCCTCTTACCAGGGTGACCCACAGACAACTACAGGAATATACTCCAAAGATTATATCACACAGAGTATGAAGAAGGCATTCTGCTGGATAAAGAGGGAGACAGAAGGGTTGGCAAGGCACTGATCACAGGGTTGGTGAGGGAGAAAAGTCAAATTTCTTCCGGCAGAGAGGACTTGGGGACGGGGTATGTGGGATACAACAAGGACGCTAACTGTGGTCATGATGGTGACAAGTCAGGTCTGTGTATAGGAAGAAAGGGGAACAGCTGTTGGCACAGGACATGTCAGGGAGGCAGGCCCAGAGATGGGAGAGCCAGAAAGGAGGTGTGTGTCTGCTGGGTAGGACGAGATACGCTCACACTGGCCACAGGTGTCTGAGCCCAGGAGACAAAAGCTGTCAGGCTGTGAGGTGGCTATGTGTCTCCAGAGGGCCAGGCACACTGAGACAGCAACACTGACACTAGCTGGTCACAGAGGTAATGAGGTGGCCCTGTACGAAGGAGGCAGTCAGCTGAGCCCAATAACAAGGCCCTGCCAGGCTCAGGAGATATGACCGGAGAAATCAGATGGAAGACTCCTCTACTCAAAAAGGGATGAGGTGTAAACGAGGGCTAAGTAACCTAAGTGGGCGGATGGGTATGCATGTGTGTGGACTTTCTGCTAGGGGAGGGGACCTCTTGACAGCCACAGGAACGGCAGGAGTGGAACCGCTGGGTCAAAGGAGATAGCCGTGTTTGCAGGGCTGAAAGACTTGGCTGTGGTCTCAGCAGCTTCGGGTCTGCCAGCCTGCAGCCTGCCTGGTGCAGGTGACAAGGCACTGGGGTCGCGCCACACGGTGAGGGGACCCAGCCGCTAAGCTCCCATGTCCCAGTGATGTGAACCCCTCGGATCGCGGTGCGCGCGGGGAGGAAGTCGTCCTGGAGACTGCCCACCCGACTCCCAGGTCACTGTGACCCTCTCTCTCTGCAAGCTGACAGCGCTAGGGAGTAGAGGGGAGGAGAGCGGGCGCCCCGGAAGCGGGGGCGGGACCTGCCGGG